GAAGTGATGTGGCGTGGAGCTATGGAAAAGGAAGTGCAGTGACCATGGAGTACGGCCACCACTACACTCGACGGTAGCGGACTGTGGGAAAAGCGATGGCGGAAGACATCGCAGTATAGCGCAGCAGGTACTCCAGACGTTTTCACGACTCGACGAGCGCAAACGCTTTATTTTTTCCGCATATGTATGCATCGGTGGACATCACAGTGGTCGTCCGCCATCATTAACGTTACGCATCCCACTGTCCGCCGCAGCAATACTACAATGTACTCCATCATTGACGCACTCCCCCACTCCGCTTCCTGCCACCATCGCTCCATATAGCAGGAAGACGATCACCGCTGCATTACGCGGCGGTGGCGGACGGTGGAGTGCAGGAGTGCTTCGATGATGGAGGACATTGTAGTATGGCCACGGCGGCGGATAGTGGGGTGGCAATGATGGTAGACAGTGACTATGATGACCACCATCATCGATGTACTGTACCGAGCAATTCTAACGAGAGTCCCCGCAGCCTCCGCGATCGCAGGTAAGTGGCTTCCGTAGGTCCGTCACGGTGCGGAATCGTCTTCTTACCGGCACTACTGTGGATGCCCCAACGTTAAACTAACTTCACGTTGCGCCAACTACTTGAGAGCACCTGGGCAAGGATAACGCGCCGCCATCGCATGGCCTAGCTTAGCATTGCAGTAAAACACCGCGTTTGCCGAAATTTCATCGGCAAACACCCCTGTTAAGCAAACCTTGCTCGGAAAACCAGCCAAAAATTCCTTTGGCGTCCAATCAAACTGAAGCAAACCCATACGATCCATAAAATCACCTCATGGAATTACTAAAAAGAGTGGTACGTTTGGTGCTTCGTTTTACTAAAACGATGCTGGCCTCAACCTAATACTACGTGGGTGCATGTTTAAAAGAGGGGTTTTAGTCCCAGAATAGCCAAAAGTTGTGAAAAGCACAATACGTAGTACTCCACCTATTAATAGTACCTAAAGATACATAGTACAGTAATCGAAATTAAAAAATTGAGCACAAACTTGGAAACTTGGATCCGAACCGTGTACCTTGCGAAAGATAATCTGACGCTAATCCCACTGAGCTAATCCCCTATAGTTCCTTGTAGGCGTTGTACACAACACTACCTTACAGAGTTTAACTTAGTATCTACTAGTACAAGCTAACACGGCTGCTTTCAATGATTTTACCACCGCCATCGCTTCCACGGCCAACTGGCTATGGAGGCACTCTCACCACCTACCACTGGGACCCATGAGATGGTTTCCTATGACATGGAGGTAGAAATACTCGATTTGACCTTTCCGGTGAGCCACCGTGGTGCTGCTGGGAGCTGTTATGGTGGTGCATGAGGCAGCCGTAGTAGTAGTAGGAGCGTGCTAATACGCACGATTTTGGCTCACCTACGCTATTCCGCGACCTACAACCATCATCCGAGGACGTCGTCAGTACTATTGACAGCCACCGCCCTGCGCAAACTCTGGTCACGATACCTGCACCCCCTGTGCGGTAAATCCTAGCTCGCATGTACGCAGTCAGCCCTGCGTGCAACCTCGCCCCCACAGTTCTGCAGCGTGGGCTACATCGATCAACACGCTAACACCGACGGATCTATGCGCCGCTGCTCCACGCATGCTGAAAGAGCTAAGGTGTGACGTGCTAAGGATGTGGCTGAACTCGTCCGAGCCTTGCAACACTCCAATACCCTTCAACCGATCACCTGTGAGATGTATGATGGTAACGAGTTGACTGTGTCGCCCTTCGACCTGGATCTCGTGTTGGCGCTAACTTGTTGCCGCATCCGTTACCCGTACTATAGCATCCGATGTGCCCATCATGGTCTCCACGGGAGCCTCCATTGAAGTCATCCCAACCCACCACGGACTGCATTGTCTCAAGGTCCCGACGATTCTGAATGTTCTCATGACGTCCCGCATGGGCGAGGAGCTGTGGCGCATCAAGGAAACGATGTTTAATGGTGACGAGGAAATGCATCGGGCCATGGTCCACCTCGCCGACATTCATGCCAGTGAAAACATTGATGTTACCTGCGTTGGCCTCACACGTTGGTACCAGGACTCGTCGTGTTGTCGTCGACAATGACCAAAACAACGAGTCTGTCACCGATTTTGACACTTCCTCCGCGACCCAGGGGTCAGCCTCTAGTACTACAGAGCTCCCGGCTCCTGGTCAACCTCCTCGATCTAACCTCCACCATTTCCATGACAACCTGAAATCTGAATGCTCTAAACGTCAACGGCCATCTCGTAGCTCGGCGTCTCGACTTTCCTGGGTCCAA